AACTTGCACTAAATGTTGTAAACTTGCTTGCTGTAATAGTATAAATTGTTTAAACTGTCAAGAACAAGGTATCAAATGTGAATAGTGTTTTCCTTGTACTCAGGAAGAATTTGAAAGTTATGGTGATATTTTGACTAGATGTGTTGCAAAATTTGAACGTACGACTCAAAGAAGATTACATGCACATATTTTTTTGCAATTCAGAACTCAAATGTCTATGAAAGGTGTAAAACAACTCTTTAAAGATGACAAGATTTCATTTCCGCCAGGTGTTTTGTTGAAAGGAACATCTCAAGATACTGAAGATTATATATTAAAAATTTGGGGTCATTACAAGATTCATCACAAACCAAATGAAGAAAAATATTGTCAATATGATTTTTTCAAGTTAGAACTAGGAAATTGCAAAGTTTGTAAAGAGGATTGTTACAAGTTACGAAGAAAGGAACAGCTTGATAAAGATAGATCTGGACCTTTTATCTTTGGAAAACATAGTTTTATGGTAGGAAGCTCTGATGAAACAGTTGACAAGATTAATAATTCAAGACTAGATGATATAAACAGAAAAACTAAATTACATGATGAAGGAATTACGTATAATTAAGCTCTTCAAAATTCTAAAGAATTAATGCCACTATCTTACTATGATAGTGCTGGATCTCATAAAATGATGTCAAAAGATCTTGAAGCATTGACAGCAAAAAAAGTTAAAAGATTTTGGAGACTAGTTACATTTTATTTTTTTGGTGATGGTGAAGCAGAAAAATCAAATCTTGTGCAAAAATTATTTTGTTCAGAATTATACTTGAAGAAAAAGATGCAGAAAAGTAGAAGTTCATGATGGAATGGATATGAGAATTAGTCAGTTGTTTTTTTGGATGAATGGTATACAAAAGTTAGATGGGATGATATTGTGAATTATTTGAATGATACTTCAGAGGAAGTAGAAGTTAAATATAAAGAATTTAAACCTTTGCTTGCAAAATATATATTTATGACCTCACGAAGATCTCTAGAAGAATTATTTAATTTTAGTTAACGTAACAGAAGTGAGGATGAAGTTCATAGGGATTGGGAACAGTTTGACAGGAGACTTGATTTTATTATCGAATTTAAAGGAAAATGGAATGATGATATTGATTTACGTACAACAGAATTGATATTTCATAGAGGTTCAGAAGAGGA